AAAAAAAAAAAAAAAAAAAAAACAGTTGGAAATTTAAACTTAGAAACACACAAACATAAAACAGGAAAACAAGGAATGCCAAATTCGGGCAACACAAGGATGCACACATATGCAGCAACCAGTATGCTATATAGTATGTACTATACAGAGCCCAAGGGCCAGTTAAGGAAAGAAACAAGCACCAAACTACAAGCCCGAACCTCTGCAAGCAACGGGACGGGCATGTTTGCCTGTACTAGCTTCAACACCAATACCATTCGCAATATTCAGCCTTACACCCCACCCACCCAACACCCCCCCAACCTGGGGAACTTGCGCAGCATGCTTTACCACCGGGTAAGACCTGCGATGAGAAGCCTTGATCATGAGACCTGCAGCGATTGGGGAACTGAGGATAAGCAGTCCACCCATAAGAAGGAGAGAATAAAAAACAAGGAAAGGACAAAAGAAATTAAGGCGGGGACAGAGACATCACAAATGAACAAAGAATGGCGACCTATGACGAAACCCAAAATGAATATGTGCAGGAACCCAGCCAGATTCGAATCTGCGACCATGGTCCTGGCCCCTGGTAGTTATAAGGAGCACGATGAGATGATCCCCAGTGCTGAATACTACTGCGGAAACCAACAAAGGTCCAAGCAGGGCTCCCGCACGGAGTAGACTGCGTGAATTAAATGATAGATAAAATAATATCTACTGTATTAATACTATTAAATAGTAAATTAGTAGTAAATCAGGGTTACCGGCGTTTGGGACGGGCCGAACGCCCGAACCCGAACGCCCGAACGTTCGGCACCCCCTCTCGATGCGTTTGGCCGTTCGGCCGAACGCGGACCCCGCCCACCCCCCCACCCAAAAGAAAAAAAAAGAATTCCAAAAAATCAGAAAACAATATATGTTATGCAGAAGAATAAACTAAACAACATTTGCCTCAACGTCACATCCAAATTCGTTACCAAATTTGAAATAAAAATCAAATACTAAAACTAAATAATAATAATGAAAATTAGAAAAAATAAAACGAGAATGAAATTATTGAGTGGGCGAGCATGTTTTTGGCACCGCCATCTTTGGCGATTTTATTTTTTTTTTTGGATGTGACAAATGCCATGAAAATTTTTATATGTGTATCTTACATAATACAGAATCTAGAAATAAAGTTTGAAAAAGTAATAATTTTCTTCATGCCCGGAAATAAAGGAAAAACAAAAAGTGAGAAGAGAGAAAAAACAAATTAGTGAGTGGGCAAGCAAGTTTTGACACCACCATCTTTGCCGATTTTTCATTTTTGTTTGGCTGAACAGAACGGCTTCAAAATTAAGGCTGGGACCCCACAGGAATGTGGAAAGGAAAAACTTTGCCGCGGAAGTGTTTCCGGGACCCCACAGCCTGCGTATAATGCATTGGAAAGCGCCGAATTCTTTCCAAGGACCGTCTTCCGGGACCCCACAGGCCGCGTTTTTGGCGTGGAAGGTAGCAGTTGGACGTTTTCACTCCGTCTGCGTCCTGGAAAAGGCCGTCGGAAGGAAAGTTCGCCACAAAAATGTGCCGAAAGCTGAGACTGGCCTTGGGGGCTGTCTCGCACTTTTCCAAGGTCTGGTCCGGTTTTTGGACCGCGTAATGTCCATGCGTGCCCCCCACGTACCCTTGCCCGTTCCGTCGGTCCAGCGGGCGCCTCCCGGACAATAAAAACTTTCCCTTTTCGGCCACCCCCCACGGCCCTTTCCTATTTCGGAAAGAAATATCGCAGCTTTGCCGTGAAACGGCCTCCGCGGTGGGATCCCGGAAAAATGAGTTTCCAGCTTTCCAGAAACTCTTGCCCTGTCTTTGCGGCCGACCGGCTTTTCCATCCACACCGCAGTGGGGTCCCAGCCTAAGAAGGAGATACCTTACATCACAAAGAACACACAAAAAAAAATTCAGAAAACAATAATAATATTTAGGTGCCCAAATCATTTTTGGCGGGGTCCGAACCCCTTCAGGTTCGGGCCCCGTACGGGGACCCGAACGCCCGAACGTTCGGGCCCCGTACGGGGACCCGAACGCCCGAACGTTCGGGGGTCAGCTTAGGGGCCTCCGTACGTTCGGCCTGGCAACCCTGGGAGTAATTGTATTTCTCTAATCAATTAATTAAAAACTAATAAAAAATTATACATATTATATGTATATATAAAATTAAGCCTATGGTACCCCTGTACACTTGAACCCTACCCTGAATACTCCAGATAGTCTCAACTGACACACCGGCAGTAAGGGGAGCTGAATGATTGTCCCTTTCTTGACCAGGTACACACCAAATTCCTTGTTCCGTTGCCTACCACTGGGACGGCCTTGTCTATATACTACTGGGGCAGCCAACATCAACCTGACCTCTCATCGAGACCGTCCGGTGGGCCAGTATTCAGTGCACCAGCTGTGAGGCTGAGTGACCAAACTCTCTGTCCCAGGTGTGAAAACATGTGCCCTGGTTCCCTACTCACGTCTGGGCCCTCCCCCTCTGTCTCACCAACAGGGCTGGGAAAGGGAAACGGGGCCCGCATAAAAAAGATAGACACATGCCCAGCCATGCACAGATAGGCTGGGCCCAACGCGAAACGGTATTGGGCAGCGGACCGACCAGGACGAAAACGAAATTTAGACAACGGACAAAACGAACTGGCACGAAAGAAATCTGTTCTGAGTCTTCTGACACCAACAAAACATGCAGCAAGTGTGTTGTTGTAAACAATTCAAAGTTCGAGGATAGAAACGAAATTTAGACCACGACAAAGAACTGGCACGAAAGAGATCTGTACTGACACCAACGAAGTTCAAATTTCAAACCGAATAAAACTGAGTTGAGAATATACAATGCTGTCAATGCACACTCAAGCCTGGACTCAGATGGGACAAAATGCTTACACGCCTGCGTAGGAGCTCACTCGCCTACCTGTAGAGTGGCCTCATGAAGGTCGAGGCCCTAGGGCCTAAGTAGGCGGCGCAGGGGGACCCAGCGTGCCACACTAGGCCCCGACTCTGGCGTGGTTGCGATGGCATTTTGACTTGCGCTGAATGCACAGTATCTGATATTGCAAAAACAGTACCTTCCGTGGACTAGGAAACATTCCAAACGGGCCGATCAGTAAAGCGGTCCTACCTGTTCAGGAGAGCTCCGAGACTGGAATGTGAAGTTGAAGGACTTTCCCGTCGGGCCTTTCGCAAGCGCGAGCGTGAGCACGCTCTCCTGTGGAACGATGTGACCGCATGAAAATACATGCATTTGATCGGAAGGAACTTGAGGGAAAAGCTGCTCCTTGAGGGCATTGATTGGCTGAAGAGTGCCGCCAGCAAGAACAACAGCACGGGCGTCGCTGATCACCTGAGCATCCATTCACAGAAAAGGGAGTCATGCAATGACAACAGCTAGGCTACCAGCCGGGCCGCCTGGTCACCCTGTTTTCCCGG